ACCCTCAAAGCGTTTCCGCCCTGCGTTTTGCCCCCTGTGCATGGACCGTCAAAATAGAGCCCTTTGTGTCTGGGGTGATGTGGAATTCACACATACCTGTGTGAGCAGACTTTTCAGTCAGATTAAACTTGAACGCAAACAATGTTTTAACTTTTAATAAATGCTGTTTTAACTAAAGTAAAGACCATGTAGTAAAATACAGTTCTAGAACATTTACACAAAGGTTCCCTTTCTCTTCAAACCTCAAAAAGTGTTTCTCTTTTAGGAAATAATTTATTTTTCCACTGAAATGTTTTCTTTTTACATGACATTTAATATTCAAGCACACACACTGACATCTAGAACAGGGTTTTGAGACTAAATTGACAGTCTTCCACTGTGCTGTTATTTCATATTCTCAATAAACATTTTTTTTAAATAGTCTGTCATCAAGCTCTGTTTCAGTATATTCATTTTATGACTTTTAAACTAAACAACAAATTAAACACAGACAAAATGTTAGAGATATATTAAATGATTATTTAAACTATTTATGTCATTTAAAAATGTGCCATCCTTTAAAGAAAAAAAATACACTTCATTTTTTTAAAACATATGCAACCTTTTTAGATGTGTTTTTTAATGATGTTATTTACTTAAAAATAGCTTAAATATTTTATTATAATTAAATACCATCAAAGATGCACTCTTAGCACGTGCACAAAAATTAATTCACCGAATTTGTATACAGTAAGGTATAGTAACACATGTGGACTTGTTGGAAAGCTGGAAATTTGTACTTTTAAATGATATGATATATTTGATTGTATCTTACTAGTTCTCCAACTTATAACATTAAATAAAAAACATTTAACTTTTTAAAGTTAGTCAGACTGCAAGTGCAAACATATGGATTTCCACTGGATGGCACACTGAGACAAGTTAAACAGGTAAAGGGGGATGGTTGTGGGTAGACAATAGCTACACACACACACACACACACACACACACACACACACACACACACACACACACACACACACACACACACACATACACACACACACACACACACACACACACACACACACACACACACACACACACACACACACACACACACACACACACACACACACACACACACACACACACACACACACTGTCTGGGGTGAAGGGGAATTCACACCTACCTGTCTGAGCAGACTTTTCAGTCAGATTAAATTTGAACGTAAACAATGTTTTAACTTTTAATAAATGCTGTTTTAACTAAAGTAAAGACCATGTAGAAAAATACAGTTCTAGAACATTTACACAAAGGTTCCCTTTCTCTTCAAATCTCAAAAAGTGTCTCTTTAATAAAAAATTTTATTTTTCTATTGAAATGCAGTTTTTCATGACACACACACTGACATTTATAACTGCGCTGAGAAAAAATTAACAGTCCTCCACTGTGCTGTTATTTCATATTCTCAATAAATATTATAAAAAATAGTCTGTCATCAAGCTCTGTTTCAGTATATTCATTTATGGCTTTTAAACTAAACAAATAATTAAACACAGACCCAATGTTTGGTATATATTAAATGATCATTCAAACTATTTATGTCATTTAAAAATGTGCCATCTTTTAATTAAAAAAACACACTTCATTGTTTAAAACCTATGCAGCCTTTTTGGATAAGTGCCTCTTCAGTGCTCTGCTGGAAACAAGCCTTTTTTCAGGCAGTTCCATGAGCACACATGGTGCCAGGCACACTGACATCTTTTAAAAGACTAAGCTTTGTTCAGATGCAGATCTCTGTCCAAACAACAGCATATATTTATCACATTATATTTTGTTTCAGTGTAAGGGTAAACTCTTTGCTGAAAGATTGAGTGTAGAAGGCACTCTACTTACACACACACACACACACCGGCATCTTCTCACCTTCAAACAAAAGAACAAAAGGACCTCTGCTGGATACAGGTCATGTGACACTCAGGTGAGTGCTCATCTGCAGCCACACTAAAAAATAGCCAAAGCCTACAGACATGTAACACACTTGGGAGTGGATTTATAAATATTTTGGGCAATACTATTAAGTTTAAATACACTAATATTAAAAATGACAAGGGAAAGCATCTGGATTATTTAAAAAATGTCATCATGTGACATGTTGAATCATCATGTGATCAAGCTTGAACACAAACAATTAAAATTAATTTTCATGATTGAATTATTGAGTTATGGCATTACGGTGGCGCAGTGGGTAGCATGATCGCCTCAGCAAGAAGGTCACTGCTTCAAGCCTCAGCATTCGCTGTGTAAAACATATGCTGGATAAGTTGGCGGTTCGTTCCGCTGTGGCGACCCCAGAATTATAAAGGGATTAAGCCGAAAAGAAAATTAATGAATGATTGATTGAATGAATGAATAAGTTATGCAAGTGATATTTTTTAAACTTCAAACACTCATTGAATTTATGTCCTTTCTATAATCATACTGTTGTTGTTTCCCTCAAACTACTATTACTGCTACTACTACTTTTTATTATTAAATTTCATTTTAAATGGGACCATGTAAAATTAAATCAAGCACTGTGATTATGCATTGCACTGAAGTAAGCTGTAGAGCCTTGGTTGCAGTCCAGTCATGATGTGACAAATAAATCAACAAAACATTAAATATATTAATAGTTGTACACATCCAAGCCATAGGAAACAATAAAAATAATGACCCGTTGGGCAAGATCATGTCAGTGTAACTACTGCAGTTCAGTGTCGTTCATTGTTAAAGTTAAATTAGGACATTATTTCAGTTTTGATTTATCAATCACAGTTCTAATGTGTTCTTTGCCTCAAACAGATCAGTTTTGTAGACATATTATAGATCAGTTCCTTACATTTCATGTATCATGTACTTCTATTGATCTGCAATGTAAAATTGTATTGCCTTCACAAACAACACTACTGGAGAATTCAGGCAAAACTGATGTTTTTGAAAACGGAACTCCACTTTGATCAGTTGTTCAATAGTTTTTTAGTTTGCTCTTAAGGTTTCCTTGCCTTTCACTTACATATCTTTTTGCTATCAAATGAGTAAAATCCACTGTTTTGATTGGCTTGGAAGTTTAAAGTCTTTTATTTAGGCAGAGAATAGTTAATTTATATGTCAAATAATGTTACAGAACATTGATTTAATACCCATTGGGTATCAAAAATAGATACCACTTTACTGTAATTAAATTACACAATGTCATGGGCCATGCAGGTTTTTTAAGCCACCTCTTAAACACATTTTTAATATTCCACAAGGACGAAGTATCCCTTTATAAAGATTGTTTATACACACTAACAGTCTTTGAGCATTCTCAAATATGCAAAGTCAAGGCAAGGCAAATTTTATTTATAGAGCACAATTTTATAGTTGATCCAAAGTGCTTTACAATGAAATACAATATTAAAGAAAATAAAAAAAAATAAAACTTGTATTAAAAATGTAAGAAAAAGGAAATATATGTTTATATGTGATACTAAAATACAGTATAGAAATTACATGTATGAGTCACTCAAAGGCGAGGGAGTAAAAGTACGTCTTCAAGTTAGATTTAAAAGTATCCGAGGATGGAGAGATCCTAATGTTCAACGGCAGACTGTTCCAGAGCCTTGGGGCCGCAATACTGAAAGCTCGATCACCTTTTGATTTGCAGCGAGACTGAGGGATCGACAAAAGAAACTGATCATGGGACCTTAATGGTCTACAAGCTGTATATGGCCTAATAAGTTCACTGACATAGGCCAGGGCAGAATTGTGCAAAGCTTTATATGTAAAAAAAAAAGACTTTAAAATCAACTCTGAATTTTATAGGAAGCCTGTGTAATGAGGCGAGGACAGGGGAGATCTCTTTTCTTAGTTCCTGTTATCAATCTGTCGGCTGCATTTTGGACCATTTGTAACCGAGAGAGTGTTGACTGGAGTAGACCAATGTACTACCAATATATATATATATATATATATATATATATATATATATGTATATATATATATATATATATATGTAAAGATCTATTTATTATTTAAATATTTATATATTATTATATACATATATCTTTTTTATATGTACAACCATTTTTTAATGTATATTAATGTTGAGTGAGAATGCACTTACTTGAAGCAGGAAAATTTACACTTTGAGGAGAAGTACTGGTGCTCAGACCTGAATAAGAGTTAGACCATGTTAAATGTGAACTTTGAATGATTTTATAGAATGTTGGAAGAATTATTTTTCTGTGTCACTTTATTTTGGTCTCTTTACTTGGTCTGTTTGTTAAATTAAGTTACAGTGCACCTACATGCCAACTAATTCTCGTTAGATTATAAGTAGACTGACAGGTTGGGTAAGTTGACTTGTACTTGCAAAGTTTCTTATGGTCAAAAAAAATCTGTTGAAGGAGCATATCAACATATATTAAACAAACAGTCTACTAATACTCAAATGGACCATCAAAATAAAGTGTTACCAAAAGTATACTTCAGGCTCATTTTTATTGATATTTAAGTAATGTAAAATGTGTGTTTTCGTTGTATATTTTAAGCACACTTCTTGTATTAGCATCTATGTATAGTACTAGTACGTTTAGTAGTATGTAGGTATACTTCTTGAATATCACTAAATTGACCAAAGTTTAGTATACGAGCGTAGACTTTTAAGTTTACTATAAATGCAACAGTAGTACACTTGAAGTGAACAACTAGTCTTCATAGACATTTTCATTTGTATTGCAAGTTTGTGATAATATAAATAAGCCATTTAAAAAAAAGCACAAAATCATTCATGTATTTTAAATTGTTTTTCCACAAAATGTTTCCAGCATGGTTGTTGAAAAAAGACTATTCAGAGCGGTTTATAATTCAGTATGGCGCTGTGGTCAGTCATGACTGGAAATTCTTGTTTGATATGATCTCAGTGGCAAATTATGACATCAGCGTGGTGATCAGAGTCACACACAAATAACATTACTGTGCCTACACTGAGTTCATAAGATACACACAGCAGCATGAATGCAAAAATCAATTACAGTCTTGCGGCAGTGTTTTTGTCTGCTTTGTTTGAAACAGGTAAGTTTAAACAATTTTCCTACAAAATTCATTTGCATTTAGGTGATTTCCATTTGATTGGGTTTACATCAGGATGTATAATTTCTTGACTATATCAATAATAAGATTTTACTATTTTAATTCGCAATTTAATTAAACTTAAAACATGCCTGGGTAATTCTTCAACAACGGGCACTTTTATGTACTTTGATCATATATACAAAAATATCTATAATTTTGTTCACATTTCTCAAACTAACAATAAAACCTTCTTTAAAAAAGTTACTTTCTATTTTATTTTTCATATTATTGAACCTCCTTTTAGATGCCAAAATCAGTTTTCACCTTCTCGCACACCCAGAGTTTTAAACTTCAACAATGAAAAAACATTTTAAATTATTATTTATCAGGTATCTATTAATGTATCTTAATGAAGCACTAGTAAAATAAATTAAATATTTTTTGGTTATTAATGTGAAACTATTATCAATATAATTTTTATACAAAATATAGCTGTCACACAGTATCAGTGTCATTTCCACCACAACACTGTAGTGTGGCTTAAAAAAGTTTGTGTGAAAGATTATTTAGGTGCTTTCTATGAAAATGAATAGTGCCATCTGATAACATTTTCAAGATGAAGGGAATTTAAATTTTGTTCAATAACACTTGAAGAAAAATCAAGGTATATATTGCTTGATAAGGAAATACATTTATTTGTCATTTCCAAACATGCTGTACCTACAAAGGTGTTTTTAAAAATCAAACAAAATGAAGGTAAATAAGAGTGTTTTGTATTCATGAAAGGCTAGTACCAATTCAAAGCTAATCAGTGAAGCTGTTTCATTTTTTTACAATAAACTGTTGAAATGTCAGTTCCACCACTGTCATTTCCATTACCACACACATTAAAAAAATATTCAAAAAGTTCTCGTCACACATTAAAAGTGTATTCACAATGTAAAAGTTCATACTCTATTTAATATACAAATTCAGTTTTTTTTTATTTTCTAATAAACTCTTAACCAAATTAATATTACATTTTAGAGTGTGACAGGTGTACAACTCAGCATACAACTAATTTATTTCGTTGACAAATGTATAATTATTAAATATATTGTGGAAAGATTGGTTAAACTAGATAGAAAATATCTTAGGCAATGTTTGACTGCCATAATTTATTTCATTTTGAAATAAGCTGCATGTTGAGATGTGGTGGAATGGACATTTGTTCAGTTCACGATTAAAAAACGTTTCTCTTATCTAAGTTTGTCCTCTTAAAGATCTTAAAACTAGACAAATTGTTTAAACTTATGAGGCTATGCTACGTTAATTTTGAACAAGTTTTTTTACTCAACTTCACAAGGCTAAAAGTGCCCGTAGTTGAAGAATGGCCGGCCTACAATTCAGCAACATTTTGATTATTTGTTGTTGATCAAGCTGCATATATAGCTGATGCATCAATGGCATTTAACCTAATATTTCTCCTGATTTCTCTTTTGTTTCAGTACATGCATATTACACATATGCTCAAATCCAGTGTCATGTGTCTGACTCTCTACAAAAGATTGAATTTATCTTCTCTGTCACCTACAACATGATTGAACTTGTGAGATACAACAGTACTGAAGATACGTTTTTTGGTTACACTGCAATTGGTCAAAAATTTGCAGAGGAATATAATAAAGACAAAGTTTTACTTGCACAACATGATTTTGTGCTGAACCAATGCAGAGAACTTGGTGATGTCATTTTACCTAATGCAGTTTGGCTTGCAGGTGAATGTCTTATTCAATTATTAACACTAAATATTAAGACAAAAGGTATGAATAAATATTTTGAAAAACCCTTTTTTTAGGAAGTCATGTCTAATTCTTTCCACTTCTACAGTGAAACCAGAAGTCATTATTCGGTCAGTTACTGAAGCTAAAGGCAATCGGAAAGCTGTCCTGGTGTGCAGTGCCTATGACTTTTACCCCAAAGGCATCAAACTGACGTGGATGAGGGATGATAAAAAGGTTACAGCTGAATTGACATCCTCTGAGGTGATGGCTGATGGACACTGGCACTACCAGATTCACTCCTACCTGGAATATTTTCCTCAAACTGGAGAGAAGATCTCCTGTGTGGTGGATCACGCCAGCTCCCTTAAACCCATGATCTATTACTGGGGTAAGAACAGAATTATGGTGAATTTAATGTGTCAAGAATCAGCCTAGACATATTTAGCACTCATCATTCATTTTACAGATCCCTCTCTCCCCGAGTCTGAAAGATCTAAGATCATTCTTGGGGCTGTGGGGCTGCTGATGGGGATTTTTACAGCAGCTGCAGGAGTGATCTATTATAAAAGAAAACAAACAGGTTAGTGTTTAATGTAAGACAGACTTTTTTTGACTGGTAGTGTAATGAAATCTACATTATCTGTAATTTATAACTGAGATCTTGGAAATGTTGTTTTCTTGCTGTCTAAAGGCTTTTACAGACTTCCGGTTTGTTTACTTCCAATGGAAACAATGAACGACACTGAACTGCAGTAGGCTGTGACATTTGATACTTAAACATAACCTCCAGATCATCTGAGAGATCCACTGATTGAATAGGTGGAGTGTCCTGCGTCAATCACATGCTTCATCTCTTGATTTGTTAATATTAATGTTTTCTCACCTGTCAATTCAAAGGTGACAAACTCTTAAAATAGATTATTGAAGATTAATGTTTTGTTACTTGGACTTGACTTGATTTATGATGTAATTCTAATGTACATTTCAAATATTATTACGTATACACTCTAGCACTTGACAGTGTACTCTACACTGAACTTGACAATGTTTTTGGAGATGACAATACTCAAATTTTCAAATACATTGTGATGATTTATGTTGTTTTTCCTTTAAATGTACATTTTGTGTCCACCTGTTCACCAGCCAAACATATTTGGTTTTAAAAAAGAAGAGACTGTATTGCATTTCCACCATGGCAAAAATGCTTAAAGACAACCTTGTAAGCAAACCAAACTGCAATTAGACTTTAGCTGAAATCAAAACATGACAAAAAAAAAAAAAGATTTTTGCTCAGCAAAAACTTAGGGTAGACATAAGTAACATGCACTGCACACACATACAAACAATGATGGACAACTGAAAAAAATGCATATAAACACAAGAATTAAAAGGCTGAGAAGGAGACAGTGGATAACTGAGGCAACTAACAGGGTTAACCAAGGGAGCAAATGAGGGTGCAGCACAAAACACAGAGAAGGAAAACAGTAGATGGAGGACAGGGTAAAACTCAACACAAAACAACAGAGACAAGACATTTTCACTCTTGCCTCATATTAATGCTTGTTCAAGACCCTTTCTTGTTGCTTTTTGATGTTCTTTGTACCCCTTAGTACCATGTACCTCTTTTAAAATGAGTGATATCCTCAAATGCTTTTGGTTGTTTGCATTATGCATCCCTTAAAATGGTTTGCATGTTTTTGATAAACATGAATCATTTGTTCTTTATGTAGTGGTTTACAGCAACCTAAACCCACACAGTAAACTTACCTGTTTGTAAACAACAAAAATGCACTGTTTGAAAATGATATTTTTCTGCATGGGTAGCACAGTTGGTAGCATGATTACCTCACAGCAAGAAGGGTGCTGGTTCGAGCCTCAGCTGGGTCAGTTGTCATTTCTGTGTGGAGTTTGCATGTTCTACCCGTGTTCCTGTAGGTTTCCTTCTGGTGCTCCGGTTTCCCTCACAAGTCCAAAAAATATGTGGTATAGGTGAATTGGGTATGCTAAAATTGTCCGTAGTGTATGTGTGTGAATGGGTGTGTATGGGTATTTCCCAGTAATGGGTTGCATTTGGAAGGGCATCCGCTGCATAAAACATATGCTGGATAAGTTGTCGGTTCATTCCTTTGTGGCAACCCCAAATTAATTAGGGACTAAGCCGAAAAGAAAATGAATGAATGATATTTATCTCAGATTTTTCTAATAAGACATATTTAATTTTACACAAGTTAATTTTAAATTAGTATAAATCTAAGTCCTTAGAGAGAGTCAGACTTGAGGAGAATAATTCAAATTTTATTGAACAAAACTCCCAGCGATAACAGCATTTGTTTACAAAAATGCACCATGTCAAATTATGATGCACAATAGCATTTGAAAACATTTTAAAAGTTGTAAAAAAACTGAAAACATTTGTTGAATTTGCAGTATTAAGAGGTCATGTTTACTGAAATCAAAAGCTTTTTCAAATCAAAAACATCAACAAAAGGGCGATATATGTCAACATAGGGCACATTTTGTACCACCTGACCTTCCCAATTCATGCATCCATTGAATTTGAGAGTTTTTTTTTTTTTTGGTAGTTTCTGCTTAAATTTCTTTTCAGGATGTTGGAATAGCCTGACAGGGCTGCTAGTTTGATGCTAACTGCCTCCCATCCCATAGATCTTTTGATTGAGGATGCTCCAAAGCTTCTTAATAGGGTTGAGCTCAGGGGAGAATGGTGGCCACACCATTTCTCTTTTACAGAGGCACCAGCAGCTTCAAATATCGGTTTGCTGCTTTGCAATAGCATTTTAATCTAATCTTGCTCTCTTAATCTAATGACTTTGTCTGGCAGATACCTTCCTCCTCCTGAATTGATGTGCACTGTCTGTCTGAATCAGTCACAAATCTCATCACAGTAGATGAGCACACTTACGTTTTTGAAAAATATTGCAAAGTTGCATACATTTTAAAACTTTTTATTTAAAAAAACTTTAGTTTAATGAACTTTTATCTATACTAAGTCAAACTCTAGCTTGGCTCTATAAGGTTCTTTTTTTGAGCCAACCCGCATTTCAAATGCCCACACGAGGACCAAGCAGGATCAGTGTTCTGTTTATTTTTTGTCTATTAAACTTATTTGTTCACTGTCTGTTTTCTTTTAAAGTCTTAAATTTGATTCTAAGCCTTGAAGGCCAAATACTTAATGTAATTCATAGGGTATATAATTCAATAAAAATGATTCAATAGTTCATATAAAGCTTAAAATCCAATAAAAATAACCATATTAAATTACATAAAATTAACAGCTGCACTGGGTAAAATATTTAGCACAGCCTAGCATGCTTAATTTGAAAATATTCTTCTTAGACCATTAAATAAATGTTAAAAAAAGCTAAACTTTTACTTTCTCAAGCATCAACAGTGTTATAACATAATTTATATTTATTTGTGATTGTATTTTTTTGACAAGTAATACTTCAATTAATGATCTGCCAGACATTATAATTCCAAGTGGAAAATCACTGTTTAGAATTTGAAGGCTATCTGCATTTGCCCTATACATTGTACCCCAATTTGCAAATTTAAGAGAACTTTGTTAATTAAATTTAGGGTCTCTGTCATGTTAATGTATGAAAGAGAACTGTTACACACATACTGTTTGCTATATGGAATACAAAAACTTGAGCTCAATATCTCAAAATCATTTTAGAACCTTATAATTCCAAGGTAACAAATTGGTCTCATGCAATCACATGATGGGATTTTGTACATCAGAGTTCACCAAGCTTGAACCTGCAACGCAGTGACAAACAAAACTGGTCATATGAGTTTGCGTTTCCAGCCTGCTGCACTCGCATGCGTATGAATGGAAGTCTATGGGGTGAAAAGTGCAGTGTGACCGCAGCTTAATGTTGAACATCTTTCTTAAGTAGTTTTCCTTTAATTAGGCTCTCCTGACAAATTAACTATTACAATAGCTAATTTGTCAGGTGAGCCTAATTAACTATTACAGGTGTCTGGGTTGGATTTCAACGATCCAACGAGCTTTGAAAAACAAAAACTGAAAAAACAAAAATATAATGTTTATGACACATAAATCCAACGTGCATATTAATTTAAAACACAGCATGAGCAGCAGGCTAATAAAAGTCACAAAAATTCATGTCTTATTGCAAAAAAACATATTAAAGCATTACAAACTTGTGTTGCATTCCAGGTCCCCTGAACTTCTGCAATGTCTTTATACATAGATCCTGTGAATAAGCCCAGGCATACAAGTTAGCTGCTCAGGCCATGTTTACAGGTACACAGGTACTTTTATGAAAGGAGTTTTCCTTGCCATAAAACTAAAAAAAACAAATAACATAAAAACACAAAAATGCACTGTGATTAAAAGGACATGCCAAACCGGCAATAAAAGCCTGTAATTTTTTTATATTAAATTCAAAATTAAAGCCGCTTTTCCACTGCACACGACAAATTACAAGTGGCAGACTGGAAGTCCAGGAGCTGCGTGGAGTTCTGATCATCTCCGTATGCGAAAATTCGGATCTGATTTGAGCTGCTTATATGTTGAAATATTTGAACGAGCTCCTGCAAGACAGGCTGACCGGATGTGATATATTCCAGTGTTGTCCAAGCTGATCCATGTGCATGAGAGAAGAAATAGTAGTTTTTTTTTGTTTTTAATCATTAAAAAGTTTATATTAAAAAATCATTTCTATCCATAAATGAGTAATAAAAAAAAAAAAAAAATATATATATATATATATATATATATATATATATATATATATATATATATATATATATATATATACAGTCCCTCCAAAATTTTTTGTGGTCTATGAGTGTCTAATATTCATTCATTCAACTATGGTGAATGTGTGGAGAATGAAGGAGCTTGCTTTTGAACTCGACAAAATTGAAAATTCTGTGCGACTGCTTCCAGGTGGCATATTCCGACAGTCAGCTTAATTATTTGCCGGAGTAAACTTCTTAGAAGTCAATGCAAATATGAAAACAAAGGCAGATTACTGCAATGCAGAATGTGTGATTTGTTTGCTGCAAATTCAATGAATTTGACTTGAACATGTCTTTCACGGTTGGTGTAAACCCTGACCAATCAGAAAGGACAAAGAAGCATGCACGCTGACATAATCAGCCAAAACAGTTTTAGTGGCCACACAACCACACTTTAAGTGAATATTATTTATAAATTAATTTCGAGAGGATCACGTGCTTATAATTGCTTGCGGCTGGCCTCGCATTATCTAATTTATGATTCACCAATCAGATGATTCCTAAGCCACTATAAATACTCTAGCTTTCATACTCCAATCATTTTGAAGAATCCCCCTTCCACCCTTACTTCTCCTCTCCTAGATGGGTGGCACAGTGGCCCAGTGGTTAGCACTGTTGCCTCACAGCAAGAACGTCTTTGTTTTTAGACATTACTAAGCCAGTTGATGTTTCTGTGCGGATTTTACACGTTCTCCCCATGCTCATGTGAGTTTTCCCCAGGCCCCCCTGTTTCCTCCCACCATCCAAAAACATGCAACTTAAGTTAATTGACTAATCTAGATCAGCACCATAGACATGCTCAAAGTAGTTATCTCTTAAGAGCAATCACTATCTGCTCATTAGCTACTACAGCAGGGGAGTTCTCGAGATCTACCTGAGCACAAACTCCCCTCTCACCTTGCAAATGAGAGAAAGCCCCGGGCTCGATTAACTTGTGAGCTCAGGGCTCTCTCCCTGGACAGCATGCCAAACAAGCTTTATAATCAATGATCAGCTATAGTGTAAACTCTTGAACTGAAGTTTTTGAAAATCTTCACCTTGGCTGGAGTTTTCAGAAAGTTCAGGTTTCAGTCACCTGATGCTGTGTTTTTGTGTGGAAAAAGCAGTGGTTTTGAAAACACTGGTGTTTATGTGGACACAGTCTCAGTCTATAGAAGATGTCAGAAGAAGTGAGTGGAAATATTCCAGTTACTCCACTTTTTTGCCAACTATATTTATTAACTTTTTGTGCAGATACAACATCATATACATACAGAAATAAGTAATACACTGTTCTGCTTTTTCACAACTAAGAACCAATGACCATCAGAAAAACAATATAGTTATAAAATGACACAGTAAATGTAAAAATAATAATAATAATAATAATAAAATAAAAATATAAACAACAAAAAAAAACTAACAAAAAAAGTAATAAATAAATATTAATAAAAACATAATAAAAAAACCTTTATTCCTCTTCTGCCTCAAGATCAATAGTGTCAAAAATCTTGCACTGCATTAAACTGTCAAGTTACCTCACTTTTTTGACACAGGTCGACCAGAACATTTCTTTAAATCGCAGTGCTCTAAAGTTTTAGGCATTCACCATGAGACACAAGCATTTCCATCAGTTCACAGCTTACACAACACACCTTTTATTTCTCACGCTGAGATAAGCCTAATATACAACCTGAACTAATTACTGGACCAGACTGGGACAGTAATGATGTATACTACAAAAAAGAGAACAAAGACAATTTGTTCAATAATAACTTACTGAACAAATAATATGAAAATACAAAAATACATACACAATTCATGAGAAATCATTTGAAGATGCACAGTCCATTACTTCATAAACTATGTATATAGACAATAGGTTAATTAGGCTGCTGTCACTTTAAAATAGATATCGGGGTAGTGTAGAGACACAATGTATCAGAATACTACACTATTTCAGAAATTTCACCAAGACATTAATTTTGACAATTTTGTGTACATTTAAAGTGCAATAAAGCTAAAAAAAAAAAAAAAAAAAGAGTCAAAAACACATTGCTTACAGTAGTCATTTTGATTATTAATTTTAAACCTCTAATTGGTTAGAAAAGTTAGAGTACAGTTTATGTTTAGGGAATATGTTTGGTTTAAACTTTCAGACTGAGTTGATGTTTCAGGATCAACAAAATATGCTGACTCAGAAACACATCTGTGAAAAATGTAAACTGTGTTTTCAATCCTCCTTTTTGTACAACAGTTTAACTCAAAACAGACCATCAGAATCCAGCCAATTTTAAAATGCAAAATCATTTCTAGACACAGAGGACGCCATGTAATATACTAATAATATAACAAGATATTTAAGCCGATAATTAAGTCGATATATTTACTAACATAAATGTGTTAGAACTTTTTTTTATTCAGATTTTATATTACTTTCGTTAATATGATTGAATGATAATACCAATGTTTATATGATTTATGTACAATGCAACTGGTCTTTTTTGGGATGTATTATATGAGAGAGGCTGCAGCTTTGTTTTTTATTGTAATTTGATTTGCACTGTAAACCTTAAATAAAAGTTAAGAAGTCTTTTTTTAAACAGTATTTACATTCTTGTATGACTTATGTACAATACAATTGTCGTTGATTGGACATATTATATATGAGACCTGCTGTGTTTGCCAAAAATGTAATCAAGCATTTTAAATAGTCTAATGCTATTTCTTGAAGCAGATATAAGATATAACCAAACAGGTTTAGTTTAGTTTCTGTTCATTTGCAATGCAAACTTATATGCTATTTTTATATGACAACGGCACTTTAAACATTCGTGCCATCTTCCTGTTTCTTTAGCTTTTAGTTTTTCTAGTCATGTCAATTTACATGTCAAATTGACTAAAAATATCAAGTTAATCTTTGCATAACTAAAATACAATATATAATTATATATAATATATATCAGGGTTAGAGCTGGATCAACACATTGAAATACCTTAAAGTAACAAAAATGCATTTGTCATCACTTTTTGTCATCTTATTTTTTACAGTGTAACACCAAAATGTTTTTTTTTTTTTTTCCATCATTATTTAGTAATCAACATTTGAAGTGGATCAAAACTATTTTTCAAGAATCCGTGCTGCTCGGTAGATTTAGGACAACTTTGATGAAAGGGTCTGATCCACTTTTAATGTTGACTTATGTATAATTATATCCATTTTTTTCCTTTGGCAATGAAAAGGACTCCAGTTGCAAAACCAAAAAGCCCAAGAGCAAGACTAACTCCACAGAACACAGATGGACCAATGCTGGGCTGCTGTACCTCCACATCTGCACACAACGCACACAAACATTTATGTGTTTTATAAGCGATTACATGTGAATGTTAAATAAGCACTCACCCCATGTTCTGGTCTGAGGTTGTTGAAGAGCTTTGTGCTCAACTGAACAACCATAAACGTCTCCTTCCTCTGGAATGAAGCTCAGTCGAGAAAAGACGTTCATTGTGCCATCTTTGTTAGGGTAATATCTGCTGATAGTTGATCCGTCTGTCACATTCACATTGTTCTTGGTCCACAAGACTCTGACCGGCGGGGGAAAGAATCCAGTCACATGACAGATCAGAGTGTTCTTGACATTTAATTTCACATCATTCCGGGAGTAAACTGTGGTCCAAGGAGGTTCTGGAAGATAATAATATGTCTAATAAAATACATAATATGTAATAAAAAAAAAAACAAATTTGTTGTCGATGTTTGAATTTTATCTGAAAAATATTTGGACATTACAGATACTTCTTATTGAACTAGCAGTGATAAATGTTCAAACCACGTGTGTTTCAGTAGATGTCAGCTGTGTGGAGTAAAAAAAAAAACTCACCAAGAGGTTCAGTGTCTTCAGACACATTCAAAGAGAGTATCTTGTGGTAAATCTCTGTGCAGAAAGCTGGTATTCCAACATCATTGAGTCTTAGATCATTCAGAGAATATTGAGGATTTGCATTTAAAAAGGAGTTTACCATATCAGGTAGTGTGAAAACTAGTTTTTCCTTTTCTATGTCTTTATATGCAGCCTCTTCAGTATCCAAAATGAAGACAATTTTATCATATGATGATCCCCTGCATGTTTCTATGAAGCCAAATTCAGGATAACCTAAAGGTTTCAGAATTTCAGAAATGCATACACAATATCACATCTCTTTTCTATAATGAAGCAATTGTTTAAAAATAACTATTACAAGAAGTATACAAATACTGTAATTTTTTTAGTTAATATATTTGTAATAAAATATTTATAATAAATATGTCGCTTTTTACATTACATTTACATTAATTACAAATTGCACTTCAAGATTTACTTACTTTGGCCTTCAGTATGAATTAAACAGAAAATAAAAAATGTTATTCCAGAAAATGTTTTAAACATGTTTGAAGTCCAGTCAGAGCAGTTGGATCCTTCAGTTTGCCACTGTGGTCAGTCATAAACTGGAAATTCTGGTTTGATCTAATCTGAAGCTGTGACATCACATGTTTTATGTGTTATAGGCCCACACAGAAACTGTGCGTCCAGAAATCGGCAAATCGACTTTTAGCTCATCATTGAGTCTTTTCATTTAAATGTGTGTAAATTTATATTTATTCCGCTTTTACATTTATTTTTTTTATATGTTGATTTCATATTTTTGTCATGATACTCCTCAAATAATTTCGCATAAATCCACAGATTTTTAACAAAATTCTCTTCAGAAATTTTAAAAAATGTCTGCAGATTCTGTCTAGCCCTAGTTGTGTGACATTGTGTGTGTTATTGTTTTGTGTTAATAAGTTTAGGGTAATTTAGAATTCCTGAACGTGTACAGCATGGTCACAAATTGTCAAGATAATAATCATGGGACATTCCACCAAAAGCGTACATTATCTGTCCCTGAAACAAAAACATTAGTACAGTGAATAAAAATCAATGCATCCAGACATTTCTAAAATGGACTGATGGTTGATTTCTGTGAGCTGTTCTATAAAATAAACATTTCATTCATTTGGTTTTCATGTTGTTTTTCTTTAATAAAAACCTTTTAGAAATGTACAAACCCTGTTATTGTCCTTGTCCTCCGTCAATTGAACCTAAAGCTTTAACAGTTTTGTTATGCTAAAAACTGCTTTTTAGAAAAAAAATACTTCAAGTTTAATTTTTTATTCACGTAACTTGATTAAAAACATGAAATTATAAATAAATTCTACAAATAAATATATAATACAAATAAACTTACAGTTGTCCTCATGCTTCTGTCAGTCCTGTCACATTTGCATTACATTTATCATAAAATGCATGCCATAAACCTTTAAGACTATGACTCGAAAGTGACATCATTTGACCGAGAAGCTGACAGTGATCAAGGATGCGTTCTATCATTATCTTATGTCTACTTTTGTATGATTTTCTGAGGACAAGCTTAAAGGTCAGACCCTGTCACATTTTTTATAAGTGATAATTTTCTGGTAAAATGTCCCATATCAAGACAATAATTTGTGATTAAATGTGTTAAATATTTTTTATTTATTAAAAAAAAAGTTTTACAGGATTTTTACCCCTTTAAAGTTATTTGTCAAATGGTAAATAGCCTATGTATATGTAGCCTACACGGAAGGAATCATTAAACTCATCACTAGAGGGCGCAAAGAGATGGTTTTGTATATTGAAAGCACGTGTGTAATATTTATCTTTTATTATTTTAATTACATCATGTTTACACGATTGAGCTTATCAGTCGGCTTTGGCTAAAAACAGAAAAAATAATTTTACGTTTCACAAAACATGTAAGACAAGCCGTTCTTAGATGTTTCTTCATTTACACAAACACATTTGACCAGATCATTATTTCTAAAATATTAGGCTACTTTCATTTTATTTATTTGATTCATTTTAAAACATTCACGACAGACATAGAATATTTGTTGAAACCAAGGAGCTTGGATTTGATACAGCAGGTTTTGCAATGCAAATTTACTTGGAAGTGCACGATGACACAAAAACAAATGCTTCAGAGTAAGTGCTAATAAGAACAGCCCCAGTGGCAAGACGATTATATTTAATGGTTTTAATGTGAGTTTTTGTTTATCCTTTTAATAAAAGTATTCTCCAAAATTAGATAAACATAATAAAACTGTAAAAATTACAATAGATTAAACATTAGTAATTTTAAAACAGCAATACTCTCAAGCGACTCTCTGTGTTTATTAGTTAAGATCTTTAAAACAATGTTTTCATATTGAGATAAAATTGTTTTTGTTTACAAACTTAACTGATGACAAGAAAATTTGACTATACCATACACTGAATTTTTTTTCTCAAATTAATGCATACATTCCCTCATTAATCTGTAAATGTTTATCCAATCTCATTGCTGTAAGCATAAGCACACAGTGGCTCTGTTCAAAATAATTTATTCAAGGTGCACTACCAATGACATTGGAAAAAAGGGAAATTCAGTTTGTCCTTTTACATGCAAATGCAGCTTTAATCAACTTTCATACAGAACCAGTTCATACAAAATAAAAACATCTCAGTTTTCCCCTTTTAAGTTCTTCTTCATATTGTTTACCAAAACAATAAAACAGAGACAAGGAAGTGACCAGTTATTTCATTTCAACTGATTAATTTTTAAATGACGCTGGTGACTACTGCACCTGATATCAAGTATTTGAAAAACAGTATGCATTTAACAGTAAAAATGAACAGCTTATATTTAAAGGCACTACATATGGGTACATTTGACCTTACAGTGCTTATCAATATACAGATGCAGCAATAGAAATTTGATTTATTTCAGTTATTGAATTCAAAAAGTGAAACTCATACAGTATTTTATAAAGATTTATATCATATATTACACTTTACACTTTAATATCTTGATTACACTTTAATATATTTATTAAAGACGTTATTGTCAATTAACTTTTTTACTCATTTTTGAGTGCATTGGACATTATTTTCATTGGTGAAAAAGTTTGGTGTTGATAAGTGGCTTGCACAGAGTCCTGACCTTAACTTGACTGAACACTTTTTTTACAGTTATCCATTGCATTACTGTAACCCCTGATATATTTCAAATGTTTATTTCTTTTTATTTTTGATGATTATGGCTCACATGAAAACCCCAAATTCAGTACCTCAGAAATGTTTTATATTATTTAAGACCAATAAAAAGATGGATTTTTAAAAATGTTGGACTACTGAAATGTATGAGTATGTACAGCACTCAATACTTGGTCGGTAGCTCCATGTCAGGGCATGCGTGGCGATCAGTTTGTGGCACTGCTGAGAGGATGAAGTTCAAGTTTCTCTCATAGCAGACCTAAGCTCTTCTGTGTTGTACAGGTTCTAGTTTCTCTTATCTTCCTCTTCCTCTAAATTTTAATTTATTGAGATGTACCTTTAAATACCCAATTTTTAACCAGAAAATTGTCAATATGGGTCGTAAATAACACAGGTTTAGTAAAAATTCATAACTGAGTGACTTAAATATATCGAAAATCTGTTATGCACAATTCAAAAACAGACGTGGGTACATTTTATCCCATGCGGGTTGTGGTATTAATTTAGCATTTATCAATTTGAATGGTGTATATTGCAAACAAGCAAACAATTTTAAAACAAGTTATAGTTATTGCAATTAGAATTACTCTACTTAAAAACACAAACACTTTGTATTTCATTTTACTTCTTACCACAGGAGTATGTACAAAAATTGTTTTTGGTTTACTAGACTTGCATGAAAAACGCTACCCAATAAAGATCTGTAAAGCTTTAAGTTATAACAAAATCTTGACATTTTTTTGCTGACTGACCAGACTGATCTGTTCAAAATTTATTTTTAATTTAACAAGTGATGTCTCAGTCACTGCACATGTACTCTGTTACTGGCCTTCAGAAAGGATTCAATCTCTTTAAACAGGATTTTATATATTCTCCAATTTATCATTCTGATTTATTTGTAAAGACAGAGGAAAACAGACATGTTTTACAGTTATTTCTGATGGATCAGTGTGCTAAACAGAAGCAGGAGTAAATAATGTGCATGTGATCAACATATTTTTTTTCGCAAAGCAAATTTACAGGCACACAATTGACCGTTAACAAATATGCCAGTGTTGCATCAAGTTACTGTAGCCAGACAAAAGTATCAGCATACAGAACAACAAAATGCAGTTCAGTCGTGTTGCATGTCTGGCAATGATTTTGTCTGCTTTATTGGAAAAAGGTAAGACATACAAAATGCATGTGTGTTAAATGATTCACCTGAACAACAAATTACTTCTTTAAAGTTAACTTTTCTTTAAAAAGTGTTGTACTCTAATCTGCTAAAAATATATTCTGCTGTGAATTTCTTTTTTATTTCTGTTTAATTTTTAATTGAAGGTGCAATATTGTTATGTTTTCTTTTTTGCAAACACATTTTTGTCTATCTTTGTTATTTTTCAGTATGTGGAAATTACGGCTATCTTCAAAGTCAATGTCGAGTACTGAGCTCTACAAAGAAAGTTGAGCTCATCTTCTCATTCATCTTCAACAAGATTGAATACATTAGATACAACAGTACTGATCAGAAAATTGTTGGCTACACTGAATTTGGAGAGAAATTTGTTGAAAACTATAAAAATAACACATTTGTGCTAGTCCTGGCTGAGTTTGGGATTGACAACTGCAAAAAAATTGCAAAGGCACTAATCTCTGATGGAATGCTGAATCATGTGACAGGTGTAAGACCTATTCATTTGTCCACTTTAAGTTAAGAAGGCCATTTATAGACTGGTATTATTGATATTTTGGTTAAATTTGATTCATGTCTAATTTTATTCACTTCTACAGTGAAACCAGAAGTCATTATTCGGTCAGTTACTGAAGCTAAAGGCAATCAGAAAGCTGTCCTGGTGTGCAGTGCCTATGACTTTTACCCCAAAGCCATCAAACTGACGTGGATGAGGAATGATAAAAAGGTTACAGCTGATGTGATGTCCATTGAGGAGATGGCTGATGGAGACTGGTATTATCAGATTCATTCCCACCTGGAATATTTTCCTCAACCTGGAGAGAAGATCTCCTGTGTGGTGGATCATGCCAGCTTCCATAAACCCATGATCTATTACTGGGGTAAGAACACCGTTATGGTGAATTTAATGTGTCAAGAATCAGCCTGGACGTATTTATCAACCGTCTTTCATTTTACAGATCCCTCTCTCCCCGAGACTGAAAGATCTAAGATCATTCTTGGGGCTGTGGGGCTGCTGATGGGGATCTTTACAGCAGCTGCAGGAGTGATCTATTATAAAAGAAAACAAACAGGTTAGTGTTTAATGTAAAACAGACTTTGTTGACTAGTAGTGCAATGAAATCTGTACTGTATCTGTAATTTATAACTGAGATCTTGAAAATGTTGTTTTCTTGCTGTCTACAGGCTTTTACAGACTTCCGGTTTATTTAGTTCCACTTCAAACAATGAACAATACTGAACCACAGTACTCTGCAACATCTGACACTTTAACATAACCTTCAGGTCATTCGAGAGAACTAGTGATTCAATAAGAGAAGTTCTCGGTGTCAATCACATCCACCTCATCTCCTGATTGCTCATATTATCTTATATCATGTCATAGTTGTAACTAAATGCATGTCTAAATTCTTTATAGTCTTTGTCATCTTTTATGATGTTTTTTTCTCCTTAATTAGTAAATTAAATCAATTACAAATATATATATATATATATATATATATATATATATATATATATATATATATATATATATATATATATACTTTTCAGTATTTTTCTCTCTCGCTTTGCACAAAAAGTTCTTATTATATACCTGAAAGTGTTTCAGAAATGTGATTTCCCGCCTTTCTATCTTTTTCTGTTAATGATGTATTGTTTATTAAATATAATAAACTATGTTACAGAAAAAGTTCAAGATTGAAAATAAAGGTTTTTTTTATTTTATTTATGCCATTGATGGTTCAATGAGGAACATTAGACTGGGCTAACACTACAATAGTTTTAGGCCAACATACACAATATTCCACTACCAAGAATCTAACAAAAAAATCTTGACTGTTCCATTGTCAGTTCTGATGTTTACAGATTAATTCTTGATCACAACTACCTCAGTAATTTAGCCAATAGGAACAAATCTAAGAAAAGACAGAATTATGGATATTTTGAAAAGGTGGTCACAAAACGTATGCTTTGGAGTTTAGAGATAGAGGAAGAAAAACATGATGATATTAAAACTGCATGCTTTAGCGTCAGCTGTCATCAATTTTATGCAGAATCAGTAGCTACAGACCTCCAAACCTAATGTGGCCTGCAGAATAGCTCAAGAAAGGTGCATAGGGAGTTTCATGGAATGGGGTACAATGGCTGAGCAGCTACATAAAGGCCTACATTACTAAGAGCAATGCAAAGCGTCAGAAGCAGTGGTGTAAAGCACTCTGCTACTGGATTCTAAAATAGTGGAGATGTGCTTTGGAGTGACCAATCAAGCTTTTAATTACAGCAGAAGCTTGCAAGATAGTCATCCTTGTCTAACATCAGTGCCTGACCTCACAAATGCACTTTCTAAATAAATATCATGAAAACATTCAACCCTGTGGAAATCCTTCCAAGAAGAGATGAAGCTGTTATAGAAGTGTTTTTTTGCCAAGTGTGCTTTACACACAAGGAATTTGTTTTGGATACAGAAGCTTCCAGTGTACATAAAGTGATGAGACTACACAAAATATATATATGAAAAAAAGATGATAGACATTAAACAAAGATGCAGTTAGTCAAAAAAGTTCTGGATGTTGAATTGTATGTACAGATTTCTTGTAAATATATACATGGTGAGCCAAGCCATATTAAAACCACTTAAACCATGACATCATCAACTTTCACTTTCAGATTTAAAGGGCTAGCGTTGCACCAGACCCCCGTAAGTGGTGTCATCTGAAAGTGTAGAATCTATATTTTATGCACATATGTATCACTTTGGTTTTTATTCTACTGTATAAAAAGTAATTTACACTTAAATACACAGTATTTTGGATACCCGAGCTGGGTATTTTACATTGGTTCATTTTCATATTTTTTCATATGACACATGGACAAGTTATAGCTCAAATGAAAGCCCTTGCCGGTGCTCATACAGTTCTAGCATTCTTTTTACTGAATTATATTCATATGCCAAACAGTTGTTGAATGAATTGTGGGGTTTCCATGGTGCAGAAATGTAAACATTACATTCATGATCAATAAGCAGCCCCAGATAGCACAGACACCTTTCATCTCTTACCTTATGTTGTGCCTTCAGGGCCATTCTCCTCTGTTTTTGAGGTGATGTGCATAAGTAATCCTTTTATATGTCTGATGTGGTCCAAACACAGTGAGTTATGTTTAATTAAACAAAACAATAGTGAAATAAGTAAACAAGGATCGGTCTCTGTGGCTTGTACAGCACCTCTCATCAGTTGGAATGCAATAACTTTTGCATAGATTATGGTAGAGACCTTTTTCTTTTTTCCTATGATTACAGACATGTGCAGGAACCACCAAATTTAATTACAGTACGCTAGACCACACAGAACCTAAAAGGTACACTTTCAAATTTGAGTTTATAAAAAAAAATACAAAAAGCGCCTCTTTTTAAGTTGTTTATTATAACACAGATGACATATACAGTTATTTTAAACACTTTCAATTGTGTTTTATGAAATTTCAAAGGGTTTTCTTTAAAATGATACCAAATTTTTGCATTTACACCTCTTTATGTGGATTTGGGAAGCTTTTAAATTTCGGTAGGCAAAATCCAGGCGGAAATCCCAAAATACCAGCAGAGTTTAAGTGGTTAAACCCACAGATCAAGACTAGGACATCAATTAAGTTCATTTGCATGTATGTAAAGACAGATATTCAACATATCTATAAGATGTATGTCACATAATGGATGTTAAATGAATTAGACTGTCATTAAGACAGTGGTTCCCGGCCTTATTTTTAGGAGACCCCTATTTTAACATTCAAAATGATAAATGACCACTTATCCCCACCTCAACAATTCCCAGTTTTTTAAACAATATTCTTGTTTTCACTAAATATTGGCTATAAAGCCTTAATCTCAGTCTGATACATTTGTCTAAACCAGTTTACGGTCTGAAGAACACTTGAAGACAATCTCAATGAAAATGTTGATTTATATTTTTTACACAAAACAACACATACGCTGTGACTCTTGATAAATTTGTATAATGATGGACAGAATTTACTGTCCTGAAGAATAAATAATTATAAAAATGTAATATTAACCATGCAAACTTTGGTTTATCACTAAATTGGCATCTGCTTCATTACTATAGCAAGTTTGATGACCCTTCATGAATCCTTAGTGTCCAATAGTTGGGGTTGCAACCCCCAGGGCGGGAATCAATGCATTAAGATGCTTGTAATTTAAAATATTTGTAAAACAAACCTTGTTTATCAAGAAAATACCAAACAAGCTTTGCTATCAGGGAGACACTATATTGACTTTTTAAGCACATTATCAACTAGCAATTACTATTTGTAGACTGTATATCAGCTAAAGTGGGCTACTGAAAAAAATGTAGTCATTATATTAAATAGTATTATAATGTAAATTTATTCTTCCTGTTACATGAAATCAGACTAATCTTTTGCATTGTGAGGTCTGCCTGTTTGCAGTACTTTTATAACAATAAACCACACTAAGTATTTAAAACCAACATGTAAAACTACTGAATGTAACAAGAACAATGCAATAATATTACAAATGTCTGCACAACTGAGCCAGATTATACAGTACATAGTAATGTTGAATGGAATCTATATGTTGACACAACTAATAAATACATGTGTCAGTGTGTCAATATTACATCCATTTTTTGCCTTTGGCATTGAAAAATATTCCAGCAGCGAAACTCAGCAGCCCAAAAGCAAGACCAACTCCACAGAACACTGATGGACCAATGCTGGGCTGCTTTACCTCCACATCTGCACACAACACACACAAACATTTGGAGAATAATGTGTTTTATAAGCGATTACATGTGAATGTTAAATAAACACTCACCCCATGTTCTGGTCTGAGGTTGTTGAAGGGCTTTGTGCTCCACTGAACAGCTGTAAACATCTCCTTCCTCAGGAATGAAGCTCAGTTGAGAAAAGACATTAAAATTTCTATCATTGTCAGGGTAATATCTGCTGATAGTTGACCCATCTGTCACATTCACATTGTTCTTGGTCCACAAGACTCTGACCGGTGGAGGGAAGAATCCAGTCACATGACAGATCAGAGTGTTCTTGAGATTTAATTTCACATCATTTCGGGGGTAAAGTAAAACCCAGGGAGGTTCTGAAATACATATTATCAATTAATTTAAAAAACAACAGCAACATAATCATGTTAATCCTAATGGGACATACTAAATGTTACCCTGGATCCCAAAACCAATCAAAGTGTTAATTAAAAAAAATGTATTATATGTCATAATGAAGCTGAGAATTTTTTTTTTTTTAATATATATGGTTTGATGGGATAGGAGAATATTTGGCCAAGATAAAAAACACTGAAAAACCCTTTAAAGTTGTCTAAATTCCTTGCTAACAATGCATACCAATCAAAAAGCTTTGAAGAAGTCATGATCTTGAATTTTGGTATAAAATAAAATCTATAACTCTGACTCAAGTATTTTAGTATGTTCACAAAAATATACATGTGTAAATAAGATTTTCCATTTTAAACTTAAGATTAAGGTTTTATGATCCAGAGTTACATAATAATAAGCAGACAACTGAATGATGAAATGGATAGTTTTGACTCACATCATTAATTAATACATTAATTTACATTATTAATTTCTTAACATTGTTACAAAATTAATACATAATGACATTGATTTAATTAATAACAAGTCATATGTTATGTAGTTAATCAGAAACATTTTCTTAAACATAGTTATAGGTTTTGTTTGCTGTACATGACCACTGTGTAAAGGAAAAATCATATCTTACCAAGAGGTTCAGATACATTTAAGTTGAGTGTCTTTTCATACACCACTTTGCACAGAGCTGTTAATCCAACAGTCGCAGGGCTAGCATCAAGCAGGGGTAATTCATAGAATCCAGGATAATCTTTAATAAAATTTGGTACAGTGAGAACAAGTGTCCCATCTACTACCACCAAGTATGCAGCCAGTTCAGTATTAAAAGTAAAGACAATTTCATCATCTGGTGATCCAGTGCATGACTCCATCAGACCATATTCAAGATCCACTGAGGATTTCAGAAATTAGAGGATTTATTATATGTAGAATAATTAATGAGACATCCATGTTATATTCACAAATGTAGCCTCCAAAAATAGGAAGAGTATTAACACTATTTAAAAAAAAAAACATTATTAAATAACATTTTAAAATATTACAATATTAGTTTTACTTACTTTGTCCTTCAGAACATGTCCAGTAGGCAATGAAAAGCATTATTCTGCATAATAATTCAAGCATGTTTGCTTGAGTGAGTTCAACTATAGAGTGGTCTGAGGAATACACCAACATACAATATAATACAGTTTGCTGTTGTGGTCAGTTATGAACTGGATTTTCTGGTTTGACATTTAAAGTAGCAGTCCACAGGTGTGATTGTCTTGTTTAGGTATTTGTAAAGTTACTCTGCCTTCTAATAAGATGCAAAAGAGCTCTCTAACATGGCAAATACAAGACATATAGACTTTCCAAAGCCATGCAATAATAAAACAATACGCAATGATTCACTTGAGTGAAAAACCTACATTACTAGACAAACTTGTTGTCTGTGACCGAATTATTTTCTGGTCTTATCTTATTGGTATTTAATTGTTCCCTGCTCTGCTTTTGTCAATACGAAACAGATTTGCTTCCAATTATTAGTTTTTTCTTTTGTACTAACATCACAAGCTGTTTTTGTTCTAACATCACAAGCTGTTTTTTTTCCCAAATAGCTTTTTTTCCCCTTTTTACTTCCGTTTCTATCAGTAATGAGACTGATATCCTAATCCACAGGATTACCACCAGAGGTCACTATCATCTATAATTTTATCATATACTGTATATAGACACTACAGTGGAACTAGATTAGGCCTCTTACGGATTTTTAAATCATAATGATAAAATGTAGCTGCATCATGAGAACAATATACAAACTCAGATCCCCATCCAACTATGCATTCATCCACCCTTATATCTTAAGCACAGACATGACTGGAGAAGCATTAAAATTCTATAGTGCCATATGGAGCATATGACACAGCAGAAATAAGGTCTACATTTGTTGTTGGCCCAGGAAACCATTTTTATTACACTATGGATTAAATACGTTCTTAATTTAATTTCATTACAACTGTTTACAGTTACAGAATGAACGTCCATGTAGAAACGTTTAACATTACGAATAAAGCAAAAATAAATGAAAATAAAAAACATGCTTGTTGTGAAACTGAACACAAATAATCATGCCTTTTCTTTTATTCATTGTGTAGTAAATCTGAGGAAATGGCTATGGGAATGAACCTCCAATAACTCCAATAACTACATTTTTAATGAAAGCATGGTTGGGTTTTCGTTAGGGCCTGAAAAAGGTGTCGGTTCTGGCCTGTTGCAAAGCAAATGCAAATTAACAGCATTTCCATTGACCAAAACATATTTTATAAAACAAATAATTTGTTATTGACTAATAAGCCCTGAGACATCATGGTTTACATTGAACTTGTAATAGCAAAGGAAACTTTTATGCCCTTTAGCAGTTATACATTATGTTTCCTCAAAACATGATGATGGATGTTGGTCTGTTTACTGAGAATATATTGCCAAAATATTTTATCAAAAGAGGTGTATCCATGGTATCCAAGCATTTGCATGATTTTTTTTTTCAATGAGATTGTACTTCACAAAGAAACTGTGGATTCAGAATTTCCAGATTAACACGTCAACTTTTTCTGAGTTATTCATTGTATAGTCTTAGTGCCTACTATTATATCAAAAGGAGCCATTTTAAAAAAAAACAGAACAATATTTTAAAAGTAAGATCATATGACCTTATCAGGCGACCTGTATATGAGCAAAAATGGTTTTCATTGTTTTGTGAAATATTCTAGCAGTATATTGACTTAAATTAAACCTCTTCCATGACTGTCATTAATGGATTACAATGTTTAAATGATTAATATGTGGCTAATTTTGAGTTTTACAAAACTTCCAGCCAGTCTCCTACATTTTCTAGAACAGCAATAAAGAGCAGAAGACTGCAAAACATTCTCACACTGGTGAATCGTAAGCTTGAGTTTTCAGGGGCCTCCACACGATGGACGTTGAGCTACAGATCATGATCTCAATTTAAAAAGAGCAAACGCCTGTTCTCTGAAATGATCAATGACAATAAACTAATATATCACATCATAAAATTATTAAAAAGTGGGATATCAACAGGATAGAGCTCAAGATTGTTTGTTGTTTTGAGATTTTTATGTGTATTTTTGCCTTCTAAAAGTTTAGGGTCAGCACGTTTTTAAAATATTTTAATAAAAACATTATGCTCACAAAGGCCTGCATTTATTTGTTAAAAATACAATACATTAAAAACTATATTTTATTTTAAAGTTTTAGCACCACAACTTTTGTGCCACACAATCCTTCTGAAAGCATTTTGCTGCAACTGCTTAAGAATAATTTCTTATTATTATGAATAGTGAAAACTGTTGCGCTTCTTATTTGTATAATTTACCTTTTAAAATATGATATATTAAAAGAAAAATATTGTGATTTAATAACAGTTGGCATTCATAGGTTAAGAAAATGAATAATGACTAGACTAGACTACAGTCATCAGACTGTTTTGATGTTGAGCTGATAGCACACAAATCTAGGCAGCCTGATTTGAGGCTTTTGAAGAGCAGAGAAAAAAATGTATGACATATGCTTATCATAACTTTGTCTTTCTCTCCTTCTGTCCATCAAAAGTTTTCTCTCACAGCCCTGGGACTGGTGGCGTTGGCCTTTGATTTTAATACTGAGAGCATAATTTATGTAAGATGTTTGAATAGCTTTTTGAGTGCGGCTAGATTAAAGAGAATTCCGTGTAATGGAACAAAAAAAGCATCTGCAGATTTTATTTAAATATATTTCAAACCTCCAATGACTTGGATAGAGTTGACAAAGGCGGAGAGGGAAAAGAGTTTGGGAAAACACTATTAAATCATTGTACTGTATGAGTTTGTCAAAGCAAGCTTGCTTTGTTTCTGTAAAGCTTCCACTGACTTAAATGACAACATCCATCCACTCCTACCCAACTATTCGTACACCCACCCATCCATTCTTCAATGCATTCAAACCATCAACCTATTCATGCACTCTTTAGCTCACGTATTCATGTGTCTTTCCATCCATCCACCTTTTCATCCATCCATCCATCCATCCATCCATCCATCCATTCACCCTTCAATTGCTAATCCATCTTTTCATCAATCAATCCCCATTCACACTTTCATTCTTTCATTAATTCATCCATCTCTCCATTGATCCTTCTATCCATTCCTCATTTACCTATTCATCTACCCACCAGTAAATCCATCCATCCATCCATACATGCATACATACATCCATACATCCATCCATCAACCCAAACCATCAATCTATCCAAAGATTCACCGACTCTTTGAATCATGCATTTATGTATTTTCTTCCATTCCATCTATTCATTCATCCATTTAACCATTCATCTGTCCTTAACTCCATGCCTCATCCATCCATCCATTCCCACATACTATTCCTTCCTTCCCTCCTTAATTCCTTCCTTCCTTCCTTCTTTCTTTGCTTCATTCCTTCCTTCATTCATCCATCCATTTATCCCTCCATCATTTATCCATGACTTCACTCCTTTTTTATCCATCATTTATCAATTACTCCATCCCTTATCCATCCATCCGTCCATCCGTGCATACATACATACATACATACATACATACATACATACATCTACCCTTACCCCCATACCATCAATCTATCCAAACATCCACCCATCCATCAGTTCACCCATTTATGCATTTACATCCTTATATTCATTCATTAATTTCTCCATCTCTTATCATCCTTCCTTTCATCCATCTATCCATCAATCCCTATCCATCCATCCATCCTCCAATTATACCGTCAATTCATCCATCCATTCCTCCACTGATCTATCTGTATATTCATTCCACATTCACCCATTCATCAACTCTTCAACTCATCCATCCATGCATCCATCCAGTCATATTTTACTCACCCATACATGCATCATTCCATCCATCCACACTTCCATTCATCCATTTATCCAATGGCCCTTTGCCTACCCTTTTATTTATCCATCTGTCTCTCTCTAATCCATCAATCCATCCATCCAATAATCCCACCCCACACATCTATCATACCACTGATTCATCCATCTATACTTCCATCTAGCAAATCTCCATACAACCTTCTTTCTACTCATCCATTCATTTGTTCATCGATTCCATTCGTCCATCCAATGTTCTGTCAGTCAATCTACCATTTCATCCATCCATTACTCTCTCTGACTCTCCTGTGTGTGTGTGTGTGTGTGTGTGTGTGTGTGTGTGTGTGTGTGTGTGTGTGTGTGTGTGTGTGTGTGTGTGTGTGTGTGTGTGTGTGTGTGTGTGTGTGTTTGTGTGTGTGTGTGTGTGTGTGTGTGTGTGTGTCTGTGTGGGTGTGTGTGTTTGTGTTATACTGCACATAATTACAATCAGTAACATCTTTTTTTGTACTATGGTCAGTTTAGTTTTCTTTGATTCACACACATGGATTAACAGTCAATATTTGTCAGTGTTTCTGCAAGTTGCACAACTTCTTTATTATCCCCATGCTGATGCAATGTGATGTGTTTGCTCGCTGTATACAGGGCTTTACAACATAGTGCGAAACAAAAATTATTTTTTTATTTTTCTGTGTTTAATGCTTTAAAGATAAATATTGGCAATCTGTCTTCTACAATTCAGCTTTCTGTTTGCTCAGTTGTTTCTTGGAATAGTAAAACAATGGTAAACATGGTAACAGAGATAGCTGGTTAACCTCTGTCGGGCAGATCTTCTTACCATCAATAGTTTTGTGGGACACCATGTGGTGTAAAAATGCAGACCCTTTGCCCTCTGGTTTTGTATGAGGGAGTCGGTATGGTCTAGTACCACATTTGTACCTTTGCAAAAATAAAATGAAACAAAATAAAAAAAAAAACTTTTGTATTGTTAAAACTAGCACTTACACAAACATTTATTCTTTTTTATAATTAAATTTATTTAACATATTATTAGCTTTAAATGTAAAACTAGACAACACACTACAATTAAGTATAACTTCTAATAAGTGTATATTTTGCAGATTGATTAAAATCTATTTTAAAACATTTAAATTGTCATTTTTACATTATAAGCAATTATATAGCGTCATTTTGTGACAAGTAACAATGTCTGACTTGTTAATAATCTTTTTTTATTTATTTATTTTATTTTTTTAACGTCTCAAACAAATTGTCCAGTTCACAGAATTAGTTTGAGGCTGTGCTCAATTT